AACTCCTAATGTTCTGTGATTCTGTGAGTGGTTCACTTCAGCTCACCCAGAACTGGCAGAAAGTTGAAAGCACTTCCTATTCTCCAAAATAATGGGAGTGAAGAGTTTATCTCCTCAAGTTCTCATTTTTAAGACATTTCATTTTATATAAAGCTTTTAAGTGTTCTACAAACACTGCTGATCTTTCTTCAAGCATTTCAAGGAGATGAGCAATAGTGAACAGCCTTAGCTGCTAGGCAACTTTTAAAATTTAACACAAAAAAAAAATCAGAAAAGCACCTTTGACAGTGAGTGCTCTGCTTTCCAGAGATGAAAATACCCATCTAGGGACACAGCTCCCAGCTCCTATTATAAAAGACAAAACAAAACAAAAAACAGAGTTTTTAATGCAGAGTTACCTTCTGCATTATCAATGTCTTGACAAATTCTCACACTCTACTATGTAGGCTGCATACTCTGGACTGAACTCATCCATAATCCTTTACATGCTTATCAAGATAAATTTTAATTTTATACTGATCTTGATAGAACACAATACAGCACAAAAGTGCCTGGTAGAATAAGAATTAATAAACCACTAAATAACAGAAAGTAACTTTCAGAAGTATAGATCTTGTTAGACAATCAAATAAATTGTTAGACAGCACAAGCCACAGCTGGCGATTCTCTTCAGACTCTTCCCACACTGATTCTGACCCTGAAGCCAATAATTTTTTCCAGGCACTACTTTACTGAAAAGTAGTCTTCATCACAGGGAAGTAATTAACAGCTACAGTGAAAAATAAAGCCCACAGGAGCACTGTGCTTCTGAGAGCACATCCACCTTCAGTTCAGACCTTCTCTGTTCTTTGCGGGCAGAAAGAAAAGGAGGAGGATGAATTGCAACTCCCACTTGCCCCAGTACAGTTAAACTCTAGTAGTAACTAGAGATCAGCACAGGGGAAGTTAACATTTACTGTTTGTCAAATGCCAAAAAAATAACACACAAGTGAGCACCGGTGCCTGCTCTGCGTGCCAGTCACTTCACTTGCTGAGGAACCCAGTAACGATTCAGCCACCAAAACAGGAACTGACTGAATGCTTCCTGGTCTTCACAGAAGGGAAAGGAAAGCAGCAAGAGCACTTAAGAGGTGGATTCAAGCTGCAAGAAGTGTTTTGGTGCTTCGTCTGCTTCTGGTATACATCCCATGTCTCCCTTGCTTTAGGGTACAAGTGTACAAATCACACCCATGGGAAAACTGTTCCTTCTGAAAATATATAATTTTTTTTTCCTATTGGACTTCTCCATTAGTTTGGGGTAGAAGCAGACATAGCAGACAAAGACAACCATCTCAAATGAAAAGGAAGTAAAAGGATCACGGAAAAAACATCAGGTTGCTTCTTCAGTATCTTTTACTTAGATTATTTTTTTCTAATACATATGGACAGTTTTATGACTTCTCAACTGCCTTGCTTATCTTACTGACCTTGTTCTTATTGTTGAAAGCCAGTGCTCGGACTTTGCAGTTGTCAGGATTGGTGTTCTCCTTGGGGATATCCTTCAGAGCCCTGTGTGTTATGTGGGCATAGACTGGAACTTGAGAGAGATTATGCCTGGCGTCGCTTTTGGACAACACGTCCTCTGTGACTTCCCAGAGACCCATTGAACCATCCCGGGAACCTGAATAAACAGTCCATAAATAAACAGTCCATTTCACATATATGCAACTCTCATTTTTAAAAAAGGAATTAAAAAAAGGTCTAAAAAAAGGATATTATTAATTTAATCCAACTGAATTCACCATCGGTGCCTATAAATTATTTATTACTAACAAAAACATGATTTTGATGAGCTGTAAAGCTAGTAACAGCGTGAAGCCATTGTTGACCGGTTTCTCTACATGGTTTCCAAGCAGCTAGATCACCTCATCTGTTTTCAAACTTAGGATACAACAAAAAACACAATCCTGTACAAGGATCATCATTAGAGATTCGCATGTGGAATGAACTCAGAGGAAACTGAATAGCCTACACATGTGTTCTGGTTTGAGCTAAAGAGAGCTTTCTATTTAGTGATTTTACTTTTCAGCTCAGTCTCTTCCATGTGGCTGACCTTGCTGAAACTAACGGCATGTTTCTCCAGACAGTGCTCCGGTGTAAAAGTATCATGTAAACATGGCAAAGCCACTGTCTCACCACAGGTGCCATACCTGCACCTGCTGGGAGGAGCAGACAGGACAGATGACCAAAAACTGACCAACTACGTATTCCCTCCCACATGTGTCATACTCAGGAAAGAAGCTGAGGGACCATGAGGGTCTCGCCTCTTCTCTGTCTTCTGCTCTTTTTTTCTTCTCCGCGATGGGCGAAGTCCAAGCAGATCCCTGCTGGTTCATCTGCCTCTGATCCTGATCCATGTGTTCCTGAATCCAGTTCCTGCATCCTGCTCCCACTGCTGCTGGGTCCAGTCTGGGACTTTTCCAGTGCCCTGCTCCGCAGAGCCTCTGGTGACGCAACTGGCATTTGGGGGGAGCTGGGCAGGTTGGTTATATTGGTTATATATATATATTTGTACCTATTTGAATATATTTCGTTATTTTCCTATTTACATTATTCTCCTGTAGTATTAGTATTACTGTTTCATTAAACCTGTTTTAGTTTTCTTTTCCAACCCGTAAAGTCTCTCCTTTACTCTCTTTCTCTTTCCTTCTGGGGAGGGGGGAGGGGGTCATAGAACGCACTGTCCAGCGTTTAGTGGCCAGCCGAGCCCTAAACCACAACAGCACACAGCCTGGTTTACCAAGGCTGAGACTGACACTGTTAAGCCAATATGTAAAAACCTGCAAGAAAACTCACTTGTGGTTATGCCAATTTGGGTTCTTTTGATTTCTGCCATTATACTTATGGATATGTACACACTTGTGAACTGAACAGAAACTATTTGTATCAATTTGTATAAAATCTTTTTATCTTAAACCCATGCAAACTTTTGTTTGAAGAACACAGCACAGGAACTGAGGCGGAACAAGCAAGAACTCATTTCATTTTTCTACTGAATTTGAAAATATTAATCTAAAATATGAATCAGTAAGAGTAATAGTACTGGACTAAAAAAAGCTGCATATCTTTAGTTCATAGATCAACGCAGCCTAAATCCAAGGCCCTCTACTCATATTTGCTGATGTTTTGGCAACTTACGTCCATCTAAATAAATTCTGACAGATTTTTTACATGTATCTCAATTCCTTCCCTACAAAAAAACCTACACAATGTGAAAAACACATCCCTCCTTCTCTCATGGGGAATGCAAAAAAAAATAAATTTCATGACTTGAAGAAGCTGTCACTGAAAAAAAGCATGAAAAGAACTTATTGACACCAATGTGATGCAGATAAGCAGACATTTCTTTATGATGTCCGGGTGCGAAGGGGAACAGTTTCACCAACAACGCACACCTTGCCTCGTGTGTTTACACATTATAAAGCATACATACACGCATACAATTTCCCATAACCAATTAGAGTAACTCCTCCTGCTCCTGATCTTGCACAGTATTTGCAGAAATTGGGTCTGCAGATGGCTCTGTAGCCCCCAGCAGACCCTGGACTTAAAAGAGAGACTCTCCTATGACCTTGGTTCAAGGACTTGGCTGGAAAAGCTAAGGTGCCTGTTTCATATAACAAAGGTTTAAGGCTCCAGTGATTCTTAAACCAATAAATTTTTCATCCTTGATTCACTTTGCAGAATGGGGCATTGTTGGTGATCACTGGCTTGGTTGCACCTTTAGTAGATGTACTTTTAGATAGCTGTACCCTCAGACAGATGTACTTCTAGTAGAGGTACTTTTTAGAAAGATGTACTTCTAGTGGACAAAGCAAACTAACTAAAATATGGTGTGGACTATGCAAAGGTTCATTAGAAGCTTTAACACTTCTAGAAGTGGTTTTTTTTGTAAATTTTTACATTTATTTTTCCTATAACCATAACAATGCCAGAAAAAACTAAATATCTACATCAGACTATTAACTTTATAGGCTTTGATATCTGATTCAGAATAAGCTGCAAACACAGTTAAGCAAAACATCTGGTTGCAATATGGGTGGTCCAGCTCAGCAGCAGTGGCTTTGATCCCTCACATATGGATTCAGTCATTTGCCATTATCTGATACTACAGCCAATGCAAATGGAGCTTCCTGACGGCACTTGCATAGCAGCAGGCAGCACATGATGCAACATCCTGCCACTCAATTTACATGATGATAGTTTTTAATGGCACCTAGTCTTGTTTGTTATGGAGGCTGAATACTCAGCACTAGAATTTCTAAACATCTTGACATACTTTAGGAGGAAGTTGTCCCTTTTAATAGCCCTGACAGGGGAAAAAGTCCTATGTTGTTCAACTGGTTAGCCCTGAAGCCAAGGAGAGTATAATTTGTTACCCTAGGCTCATGCCATCCTGGGAATTATTCACCCCACCTGAAAATTTTGCCGTGGAAATCTTTTTGTCCAGCCAGTACAACTGAGTGGACAGATGCAGTCTGACTCAGCTATGGCTATTTAGTCAAGAGTTTAATTTTACGCTTATGGGCTACTGAAATACAGCTGCTGAATGTTTTACAAGTTGTTTTTTTCTTTTTTACCCTGCCTTCTTCTTGCTGAAGTTAAGACATGCAAGAGGAACAATCATGCCCCTGGTCTTCTCTACTCTCTCAACAGCTTTTGCAGCAGTGAGAAAATATACTGCCAGCTCTCTAACCTCCGGCTATATGATTGGTGTGATATACCATAGGACCAAACGCCCTTTTTTCTTCCTGTGGCATTTAATCTGCCCCAAGAAAGTCACAAAAACTTTGCATTTAGTTTCTTAATTCGGATAAAGGTATTTGCTATATTCTCAATGTTTGAAGTTCAAGTATTTTTGCTCTAGACTTTCAGATGCAGATGCAACTGAAATCTGTAAGATTAAAATAGATGTTAGTCTAAAACAGAAGTCAGATGTTAGTTGCCTTTGTTTTCTCCTGATTACTATCATCAGCAAAGTTCTGAAGAACTCAGTTTAGCGATCAGACTTGCTAGTTGCTTTCGACAAGCCTTCCCTGGTGTCTCCTGACTGGAGACTAGGACCAAAAACCTGCCATAAGCATCACACAACAGAGAACATGGCAATCTTGTACTCACACCTCCACCCCGGAGCACCCAGAAAACACTGCAAGCAGTTCAATCTCACATGCTGTGCCTCTGTATTACACTGGGTCCTCATCTTTCCTCTATCTGTAATCACCTCTGCTGTTCTTTTCAAGCTTACTAGCTGCCAGTGTTTTGTTCTTTAATGCAGATATTTGGCTTGGAGATTTGCAGGATTAAATATATTATATTAAATTCAAAATCAGAGTCCAGGACTTGTTTTTTGTGTGCGTGTGCGTGGTTGTAAAAAAAACAACAAAACCAAAAGCAAACTTAGTGAACTAACGATTTAACTGTTTGAACTCTGTACAAGACTTATGATTTTCTGTCACCTACAGTTTGACACACCCTTGTACAGCATACTACACTGCCAGTAGAGAGACGGTAAGCTACTAAGTTAACGCAAAAGCATATTACTATTGCTACCTTTACCTAAGTAATACTTTATAATGTTACAGATTATCCAACTAGTTACTAACAGGTCAATAACTGACCTTTTCTATTACAGACTTCTCTATTAACTGCCATAGTATATGTGCATATACACATATATACACACACACACACAAACTTGTACAGACACACATAATTTTGCTGATGACATGACAAAATGAAACGAGTTTTCATTAATTAGTCTTTTATAGGACTTCAGGAAACCAATGTGGCTCTGTTATATTTCAAAATTATTAACAGACAACCAACACCCCTCTGGAAATTATTCTTCTTGTGTGGAATCCTTCCCTCTAACTCACTATGTTTAGATCCTGCCATGGCAATACCTCCTGGAAAGAAAATAATATTCCTTATAACTAGGAAAACAATCAAACCTAGACCAGGGTCCTAAAAATAAAACAAAATGAAGAACCGTACTAAGACCAAGAAGGGTTTAAATAACCAAGATAGTTCCAAGTGGTTTCAAATACCTTAATAAAGGTGCTTCTTTAAGACCTGTCAAGTGCTGTACATAAATACCAAATTCTGGAGAGGACAAAAAAAAAAAGGTGAAAATAATTGACTTTACCAGAAACAGCCATAGTATCACTGATCCATGCAATTGAAAATATCCAGTCCTTATGTCCATCCTAAAAGAAAGAAAAGATATTTTTCTATGCCATTATACTCTAGACTAGTCTCAAAGCACACAAGTATTCTTCACTTTGATTTTTAGTACAAACTCAGAAGGACAGATCTACATTAAGAAGGTACAGATAAGACTCTAGTACCAAGCTAGACCAGTTGAAGTACCTGACAGTATTTTTAAATTGTTTTTATTTTGAAGCATATAATTAACAGAGCAATCAGGTGATAAAAAAACAGGTCTCTGACCAAGGACAAATGGATCTCAGTTGTAAAGGACTTAATTCTCCATTTTGTAAGCAGCATTATTTCCCTCTACAATGTAGCCACGTATTTTTATTTCCTCAAATGCACATCCTTACTATAAAAAGTAACCAATATCTTATCTTTACACTATTATGACCTACAGATTAATTTTTCAAAACAATTACTTCAAGAATCTCTTTTTTTTTTAGCAGGTGAGAAACCTGGGGAGCGGGGGAAGACCGTAAGGCTCTGTTTCTGTTTGAAAAGTTGCAAAGTCACAGCAGCACACAAATGAACAGCAAGTCATGGAAATCTTCGGAGTCAAGCCCTTCTGCAGCTGGTTATCTGCTGCTGCAGAAACTCTGACCTGACCTCTGCTGTTGGTGTTGTAGTTACTATCTATCTTAAGTCCTTAATAAAAAGCAGAAATAAGAGATGTGCTTACAGAACACCATGACACTCATTTCAGCCCTTTTTCTTTTTAAGACTGGCTATTTTAAAAAGGCCTCATGACGATTCAGAAATATAAGCAGTACCAGAGCCTATCAAAGTGCCATAAGCCACTGGGTTAAAACTAATCCTCAAAGCCAAGTTCCATCTCCGGAATAAGACACACATAAGCTGCACTGGAGAAGGGGAAAAATCTGAACAACTTGTATCATCTTTTCAATTTCTCAAAAGAGCATTTTCACTAAAACAAGTTTTAGAGGTCACCACCACAAGTAGACTTGAACATTTAGGATTGTTACATTTTCAGTGCTTAAAGTACTATGAAGTAGACTTGAATGGTGGCGAGGAAGAATAAATCTGACTCAGAACCCTGAGAATCATATTGTATGATTGTGCACTCACTCATATTTATCCTGTCAGAAAAGACAGCTTAAAGACAACCTAATTGGGAATGTTTTCAAGCTTTCAGAAATTAATTCCCCACTACAAGACTCCTAAGCCTTAATCTTGCTCTGGCCTTATGCACTTCAAAGCAGTATTTCTTTTAAGTGACAAAAGAAACTTTTCCCAAATACTCCGACTTACATCTCCCACACAAACAGGATCGAGTGTAGGCAGACGATAAATTGCAAGGCTGTTGGGGTTGTCTCCACCTGTGGCCAGGAGGGTCCTTGATGGGTTGAGCTCAATGGCATGAATACCACATCCCTGGTGGTTCACTATGCCGGGTTCACGGTCTTTCAGAATAGGAATCTTGGTAATTTGACTGGTCTGGACATCTACTACAAATAACTGCGGGAAAAACAGGAGATGTAAGTCATCGTTGAACAGGTAAGAAAAACAAGATGGTCAAATATCCTCCCTATTTTGAATTGACATTCTTTTCAAGTTCAAATTCACAAATGCAAGTATGGCTGGAAAAAAAAAGCTTAAATTCCTTCTTAAAACAAGTAAACTAACTTAATTACAGTGGGGTTTTTTTCAATCATATTTGGTTTTCGCAGCAGTGGAAGAGAGAGGAAAGAAATTTGTCATAAGTTTCCCATTTAACAAAACCCTTGAATCAAAAACTCTTTTCCCTGTTTAATACCATGACAAAACAATATTGTTTTCCAGTTTCTCTATAAAACAGTGACACCGATACTCACCTCAAAACAGCTAGTAAGCCTCAGGGAACTTAGCACAAGTCTCCTGCCTCCCAGATAAGATACTTACCATGAAGTTTCTTCTTTGGCAAACTGACACTTTATAAATTTATATAATTGGAGTTTATTTTCTGGTGATATACAGAGAACAGTAACTCAAGATAGTGCTGCCAGTACAAACATCTAAAAGAGTTATCTAGCTACATAACTCATCCTGCAAAGAGACCAGAAGTTGGGAGCTCTATGTCACTGTCCCCTTGGCAGGAAACTCAAGTTATAAAGCCTTACAACTCTTCAAACGGATGTCGTTATGCCCAGAGTTGTCAGTTCAAACACATACAAACATATCGTTAAATCTAGATCAGGACAAAAGTTTACATCGCCTGCCAAAGCGCACTCTGTGCTGGATCATTTCACAGATGCTGTTCAGAGGGCAGCAGCACTAACAGTCAAATAGGTGTAACAGAGGGGACAAAGTCCTGTGAGGGAACGTGAGTGAGAAGCAAGAAAGTGGAGAACCTGAAGCTGAGTTGGCCCTAAGGAAAGTGATGTAGAATCACAGTCGAGGATTATAATTAAATTCCACACACCCCACGTTTAAGTTTGTTCCTTCTGTAACCAAAGAACATTGTCTCAAAGCCTCTGGAAATTAACTGAAAATGGAGAAGACAGCAACAATAAAAGAAAGAAAACTCAATGAAATTTTAAAAATACACATGTCAAGCAAATGGTTCTGAAATACTTCATCAGACTTTTCTAGGACAGAAGAGGAATATAGAGGTTCTCAGAGGAAAGTTATACATACAGGTTGGTTTTGGTAAACTCTCACAGACTGTAGATCTCTTCTTTAAAAGGGTAAAAAAAAAAAACCCCAAGAAAATTTAGTAGCTTATCTCTTATTCTCTATGTACCAAACTAGCAGAATATTAATGGCGTATCAAAACCTGATAAACTACGGTATGTCAAACTCACTCTGTGGAGTAAGCAGAAATCCATTAATCACTATTTATGTGTTGTGTCTAGAATTACACACTGTCTTCAGTCTGCAACTGATCTTCCTCTGTAGGCAGCAGTCATGAAGACCAGGCGACTCTTCCTACAGGGACTGAGTCTTCAGTTCTCTATTTCGCGTGCAGGTGTGGGGTCAGAAACTGCTGAAGTGCAGCTGAGCAGGAGGGAGTCACTCCTCGCTTCTCCCAGTCCTTACAGTGCAGCTCACTGCCTGAGACAGCAGGTAAAAACGATGCACACAGCAGCCCCTCTGCCCTAACCACACGACTGAAAATTAACACCTGCAGGACCAGTAATTCCCTCTCTTCTCATTGTTCCTTGTCTTTCCTCTATGAACGCATATCCTCTTTTCCTCCTCAGTATTTCTTTCCAGCAGAAATGCCCAATTTCCTCCCCTATCCTGCTTTACTAAAAAAAAAAACAACAAAACAAAAAACAACCCAAAATCCAAAATCAACAGTTAAGTACCTATGATTAAGGGTTGCAGGTGTTATCTCCAGGTCCTAAAGCTGGCACCAGAAGTGCTAATCAGGAAAATGGCCACAGGTCAGGATGTCTGTGGTCTCAGGAAAATTGTGCTTCAGCTGGAAGAGATGCACACTTTGAAAAGCATCTCAGCAGGTAGGAGGACTGAAATTAAAAACCCTTCACATTCTCCAGTCTGATGCCAGAGTCATACACCTATGTTTGAGACAAGGTTAACAGGTACTTACTCTAATGCAAAACTCCTCTAGTTAAAATCTAAACTAATTGGGCTAAAAAGGTAAAGAACTTGGAAACATACAGTGCTGAAGCGTTGGACCCTCACACTTCTGCCTGGGACCTTCAACTTGAACATAATTTTCCTGTAACAAGTTTCCAAATCAAGATATTCTCAGAAACAGCAACAGGACATAGTTCTTGTAGCGCGCTTTCACCTGTTTGTATCCCACTCTAATCAAACATCAGCCCTTGAGCTGCTTTGTCATTTCCTCACTTTTCTCCTCCAGTTGCACAGTATCACCGTAACCAGAACAGCAACCGCTCT